ACAAGAATATTCTGCTTTACAAAATAGTTGATTTCACTTAATTTGTTTTTCTAATTCTTGATTACTTCACCTTATATCTGTTACATGTGCAATGACACTGAAGTATGCGAAACTCAACTGTGCGAAACTGAAATGTGCGAAACTGAACTGTGCGACACTGAACTGTGCGACACTGAACTGTGCGACACTGAACTGTGCGTAAAAGAACTGTCCAATTGAACAAACGCTGATTCAGAAAAATTTATTATTTATAAATTAACAAAATTTCCAAACAGGGCTCTACATGCATACACGTGTGTCTGTGTGTTTTAAATTATATTTCGATAACCTGTGTCCAAAAGCAACGGTGTCCAATTGTACGGTGCGCAAAAGAACTGTGTCCAAATGAACTGTGCGCAAGAGAACTGTGCGCAAAAGAACTGTGCGCAACATTATGTGTCCAATAGCACTGTGTGCAATTGCAACGTGTCCAATTGTACTGTGCGCAACTGAAGGCTTCTCGGTTCGGTATCTCTGGCGTATCGGTTCTTGCCCGGTGCGGAGGCGGATCCGGTGTTCCGTCATCTGTGTCGTTTTTCTCGTCAGTTCGAACTTCGGTAGCAGTTCTTCTAGCAGTTCGTGTAGTTGGCCCTGTTGTTCGGGTGAGCACTCGGTCAGTCCGTTTTCTTGTTCGTCCCCGTTGGTCGGTCGAAGGGTGGCTTCCGGGTAGCGTCCATTGGAATCCGGCTTTGTTAAGTAGGTGCATCCCCGCGATCACGTCTACTGTGAGGCCGGGGAGGACGTGGAATGTGTGTGTCCCTCGGTATCGTCCCAGTTCTACTTCGATTTTGATTTCTTCGCTAATCGGGCTGATCTGGCCATTGGCTAGGTGTACGGCGGTCGTGATGCGGCGGCTGCGTCCTCGGTGTCGTATTCGGTTGGCCACGTTGGTCGAGAGGTAAGAGAGCACTGCTCCGCAGTCCAGCAGCGCGTTGTATCTTCCTTCTTGTATCTGAATGTGGCCCATCGGTCGAGGGTCGGTGTGGTCGTGGTCGGGGTTGATGCTGGGCAGATAGCGTTTTAGGAGGCGTCGCTGGTCCCTGGTTCTTCGGTGGGCCGGAGATTGCCCTTCTTTCCCTCGGCCCCTAGCGGGTTTCCCGGCTGCGTTCCGTGGCAGTCCCGTGTGAGAACCCCTTCTTTTCCGCACTGGGAGCAGAATAGTTTCGGTGGTCGTCGGCAGTAGCGTCGAACGTGTCCTCGTTGCCCGCACCCCCAGCAACAGTCGCGAGGGTTGTACCCCGGGGAAATGGTCGCGGCGTAGGCGTCGGAGTTACCTCGCGGCTTGATATTTTTGGCGGGAGCCTGATACGCCTTTTCGTAGCGCCGGGCCTGCTCGTATTCGTCGGTCCTCTGTAATAACTCGGCCATCGTCTGGAAATCGCTTCGCCTGATGTAGAGATGGTATTCCGGTCTTAAATTGTGGTACGTCCTCTCCAGGCGGTCGGCGGGTCGCATCTTTTCGTGTCGCCTCATTATTGTCTGTAGCGCGGTGGTGTACTCGCGAGCGTTCTCCCCTGGCTCCTGTTTGCGTCCGGCGATGGCCTCCTCCAACTTGAACCGTGATTCTGTCGGGGCGTAGAATTGCCTGAAACATTCCTCAAAATCCTGCCAGCTCTGCCAATCGTCCCGGTTATTCCGGTACCAGAGGAGGGTGGAGTCTTTGAACAGGAGTGGGAGGCACGGACGTAGTTGTTCCTGTGTCATCCCATAGCTGGTGCGCAGGTCCTCTAGTCGTTCGAGGAAAGCGATACCGTCTTTCCCGTCGAATTGGCACCCCCATTTTCGGACGGTGTCTAGGATGGCCGCGGTCTCGGCCAGTCCCTTCGTGCTCTTTGGTTGTAGCGGTGTTTGACCGGTCTTTCTGTCTATCTCGTCGTTCTGGTCGTCCTGGCTATCGTCCTCGGAATCAGGGAGCGGGGACTTTCGTGCCTGCCGTACGCTTTGCAGGAGCCGGGCGCCTAAATCGTCGCGCTTGCCGTCGGTCGGCAGTTCGCGCTCTTGCAGCGCCTTGATTAGCTCCTCCTTTGAGAGGGCGTGCACCCACCCGGTAGTGGTCGGCGTTGCCATGTTGGCGTGGCTTTATAAATTTTCTCCTATCGCGATCTAGTCTTTACTGTCTTTAACTGTCGGTCCTTCACTCTTCGAGTCCCTGTTCGGGCGCCATTTGTAACGTTGAAATTTTTGAGCTACGGATAGCCTGGAGATTCCAAGGTTCGGTCGGTGGGCTGGTCGAAGAGTGAAGGATGAGACTTGTATTTCCAGTAAAAGACTACTTTATTCTAAGTGCTAAGTACTTACATCTACTCCTTAATACTATCGCTTACAATACTAATTACTAATACTTAATACTAATCGCTCGGAAGACTTAATACTACTGCTTATAATCTAAGTCCGCTTCGGCGGCGATCTTTGTACTTGTATGCTGGCGCGCTGCGCTGCTGAGAAGTTACGACTATATGATTCGCGGGCCGGGATTCGAGTGTGTTCGGTTTCGGCGGTGGGAGCGCGATATGTCGGTATCGGTGTTCGGCGGCGCGGGCGCGGTACGCTCGGTTCGGTCGCGCGGTTGACGCATGCGCGGGTCGGCGGTCGCGTCGCGTGTCGCGGCTGCCGGTGACAGTTCGCGGCGCGTGTGAGAGGAACGGGAGGTTAGGTCGGTGTGTTGCCGGTGCCGCTCAGCTCGCGGATTCTTTTACCGGTTAGTGCTCATCACGCATCGAACCGTGGTGGAATCGGCATTCAACTCGTGCCTCGGAAGAGAGGAAGCGGTCGCTCAATACGCGGCCTGGGGTAGACACTCAGCTCGTGTCGTGCTAGGTAAGGTGAGTGATTCCGCTCAGTGCGCGGATCGGGGTACCGGGTCCGGCTCACTACGCCTTCTCCGGGGAGACGACCTGCTCAGTTCGCTGGTCGGAGGATTCTGCTTTTCTCGGCTCGCTCGGGCTCTTTTATACAGTAAGTTCGTGAGCGCGGGGGTTAGAAACGAGACAGGGGAAGAGCGCAGGGTGGGGAGCAACGTTGCTCTTTGTTGTCACGTTACAATCTGACATTAAAATTTGCCTTACCCCTACGACTGAAGAATCTTTTTAGAGCTGCAAGAAACGCTTCGGTAGTCAAGTCACTGACCAACTCCAAATGCACGGCCTTTGTTGACAGACACACGAATGTGGATACGCAAACCTTTACCTTATTTCTATTGCGTTCTTTCTTCTCTTTGATCCAAAAGAGACCGCAGTAGTCAACACTCGAGTTCGCGATAGGGCACATAAGTCTTGATCTTTCCTTGAGAAGATCACCCATTTTGTATTCTAACATTCTTGGTTTTACTTTAAAACATATCACACATTCGTGAATGATCTGCCTTATACGACTCCTCGCACGTACTGGCCAATACCTTTGTCTAATGTAATATAGGGTTGCTTGAGGCCCCGCATGCAGCAATGAAAGATGAGCATTTCTAATAATTAACTCGGTTACGTGATGTCTTTGTGGCAAAATGATTTGATGCTTTTGCTCATATTTCAGATCCGCATGCACTAGCCTGCCTCCTACTCGCAGAACTCCACTAGAATAAAAAAATGGATGTAAAGAAGCTATCTTACTACTAGTTTTGAGCAATCTACCTGCGCTTAGCTCTTTAATTTTGCTTGCGAAAGACTCGAGTTGGACGAGTTTGACTATCTTCGTCATTGCTTGCTTTAACTCCAAATTCGTCAAATTACCTCTTGTCTTTCCTTTCCCAAGACAATTGTTCATAAATCTTAAACACCATGCCATCACCCTTTGAAGCAAAGAAATCCTTGAAAATTGTCGCTGCACGTCGAACCTCCACTCCGCCTTCAGCACAGTTGTCTTTCTTTGTTCTGGAATCTCCAGTAAGTCTGAGTCGAGCTTGGGCCATTTGGTCTCGTGCTATTTGAGCCATTCCGGACCGGTCTTCCATAACGGATTGTTGATTAGACTCAAAGGTAGAGCTCCTCTTGAAACCAAGTCTGCCGGATTGTCTCGTGATGCTACGTGTCGCCATTCTTCTCTGTTGTTGATATCTTGAATTGCGGCGACACGGTTCGCAACAAACGTTTTTAAACGATGTGGCTGCGTCTGAATCCAGTGCAATGCTACGGTTGAATCTTACCACAAGATGACTCTGTCAAACGATATACCGAACGCTTTCAATACGGCTTGACAAAGTTGTGCCAACACTAAGGCGGCACACAGCTCTAACCTTGGCAATGTAAGCTTCTTCAGTGGTGCTATTCTTGATCTAGAGCAGACCAGTGCTGTGTGATAAGTCTGGTCAAACCTTGTTGATCTAATGTACAAGCAAGCTCCGTATGCGGCTTCACTTGCATCTGCAAATCCATGTAACTGTAGACTTGCAACTTGCGTCGTACAGACTTGTCGTGGAAATGTGATGTTGTTTAGTTCTTCTAAGCTGTTTAAATATGTTTTCCATTGATCACAGATTTCTGTTGGAATTTGCTCGTCCCAACCCACTTTCAGTTTCCATAGGATCTGGAGTAGTATCTTAGCCTTGACTATAACCGGGCCTAGTAGCCCTAGAGGATCGTACAAAGATGCGATTTGTGCCAATATGGTTCGCTTGGTTACCTTGTCTCCATGTGGTCGTATGTTGACTCGATATAGTAGGCAATCCTGCTGTTGGTTCCAAAGAACTCCTAGCGTCTTATGTGTATCGGCAAAGTCTAAGCTTACGTGCTCCTCCGCCTTGTTGTCAGTTCCTTCGTTGAACCGCGAATGATTTGAGGCCCATTTCCGAAGGTGGAATCCTCCCCATTTCAAAAGGCTTGCTGAGTCCTCAACTCTTGCGCTCGCTCTAACATACTTGCTCCTGTTAGAAGATCGTCCATGTACATATCTTGTCTTACTACTTCTGCCGCTTCTGGATAGAGTTGTTGCTCGTCCTCCGCGACCTGTTGTACTGTACACGTTGCTAGATATGATGTAGGTTACAGTATTCAATTGATATGTTCGAACAGCCTCTTGTGGGTTGTCTCTCCATAGTATCCTCTGGAAGCGACGATCGTCTTCCTGCATATACACCTGTCTGAACATTTTTTCTATGTCTGCTGTAAAGACTATGTTGTGCAGGCGAAACCGCGTAACCACAGAGAAGAGGTCTCGCTGCAATACAGGACCTGTAAGTAGAGTATCGTTCAGCGAATGCCCAGTAGTAGTTCTCGCTGAAACGTCAAACACTACTCTCAATCGCGTAGTGTTGCTGCTATCCTTTAGTACTGCATGATGAGGAAGAAAATAGCTCTCCTGAATACTTGCGTTCTCTATCCGAGACATATGCCCCAACTCTTCATACTCTTTGAGGAAGCTCCGAGATTCTTCGTATAACTTAGCGTTTGCACTTAACCTTCTTTCCAATCCTTGCAGCCTTTTTAGAGCTAGCCCATGCGACTCACCTAATCTATTCTTATTGTCATTGAAAGGTAACTTCACTGCGTAGTGCCCTGAAGGAAGCCTTATAACAGTTTGCTGGTAGTGTTTTTCACACTCCTCTTCTTCCGGTGAAAATATTCTTCTTGTTGGCAGCTCCTCTGTTTCCCAGAATTTCCTTACTGCATCCTCCAAGGTACTTCTAGAGAGATGGCATAGTTTAGTTGCTATAGTGCTAGGCGAAGAAAGCTTGCCAGCTACCACCCAGCCCAATCGAGTCTCTTGCAGCATTGAACCTGCCTTCAATTTGATTTGGCCAACGCATAACAAATGGTATAAGTATTCTGCACTGTTCGAGATTCATTTGAATCTCGTTCAGTTCATCACCGGCGTGATGGCAGCATCAGCCGGGTCAGATCGTGCAGCGCCGCATGAGCGCTGCTCGCGAATGCCCGATCGTAACACGAGGCGACGGCGCGACTTTACGTACGTTACCGGCGCTCTTTTGTCTCATGGCGACCGTACACGCGATTCGTAGTGCAAAATAGTTTCGAGTGTTCTTTGTGGACTTTCTCACCAAAGAATAGACTCAGTGCATCGACTAACGATATCTCACCAGTGCGACTCACCAAGACTGCTCTAGTACAGCATCAACGGCGGCTCAGACTCACCACGCACGGCGCACGCCGGCGCCGCGTGGACACGGCTCACGGGCATCAGCGATCACCAGGCCAGCCCTCGATCAATAATATCGACCCGTGCACGTGAATAGACTTCTCAGATTTACATTTACCGAGACTCACATGTAATTCTTTACAATATTAAACTGTGATACGTTAACTTTAACTCAAATCGATCAGAGCTCTTAGATCACGGAAATTCCATCCTAGCTAAGCATGATATAATAAGTTCTCTTGCCGCGCATTATTCCTTGAGTCCTATTGCCGCAACGTCCTCTCACCCTGCTTCCATCCGCAGCGGTACCAGCGAACTCGTTCAGCGAGAAGCGCTAACATTTTTTGGTCCTTCGAGACGGATCGCGGCGAGACTCTCGGACGGATCAGCGCAGACACGCATCGCTCACGTGATCAACGGCGCTCACATCCACGGTCACTCATCGATCACGTGATCTCATGTCCTTCTCACGTGACAGCTCATCATGGCGGACGCACAGAAGACGGGTAAGGCGGACCGCCCGCCAACCCCGCAGTTGGAATTGCCGCCAGGAGAACGCTCGTCGTCGAGGACTGCGTCTCCAGCCCGGCTTCCGACAGAGCTCGCGTTGAAGGTGCAGACGCAGATGGGTCGAATCGCGTCTCTCAAGGAACTCACAGAGACGCTACCGGAGGTTCCGGCACAGACATCCCTTGAGAAAGTGAGCCAGTTCCAGCTCCTGATCGAAGAGACGCACAAGGCGTTTGTAAAGGAACACGCCTACTTCGAGGTCTCATGGCCCTCTGCGCTCACTGGACACGAGTACTTTGCTGGAAACGCTCACCAAGAGGAGACGCGATACTACATGCAGGCGCGACGGATCATCGGCGTACTCCGCCACGCACTGACAGCTCAGCCCGCTCACTCGGATACGAACTCATCGGCCGGAGAGGACCGGCGAACGCACTCACGTCTGCCAGACATATCACTTCCCAAGTTATCTGGGGAGTATGCCGCATGGCCCGCCTTTCGGGATCTCTTCACGAGCCTGATCCTCTCCAACCAGCAGCTCACGGACGTGGAGAGGCTGCATTACCTCCGTTCGTCGCTGGAAGGCGCGCCAGCTCAATTGGTCTCAGGGCTTTCAATGACCGGCGACTCACCTTCATGGGAGCTGCTCAAAGACAGGTATGAGAACAAAAGGCTGCTCATCCACTCCTGTCTAGATAAGCTCTTCGCCAGCTCAACACCGGTTCCGAGGAAGGCGGCAGCATTGGACAAGCACATCTCCGGAGTAAAGGAGGCTCTCAAGGCACTTGACTCCTCGATCGTGTCACGCGTGAGCAGTGGGAGAACACGGTTGGCGCCACGCGAGAATATCCAAGGTTTGAGAAGCTCGAAGAGTTTCTAACCTCTCGCACTCAGGCTCTCGAGAGGATGGAATCAACGACGTTTCAACCGGGCCCCAGCTCAGCGACCTCAGCACCAAAAAGGACCACCACTCACCAGACGGCTCACCAAGGCGACTCATCATACCCGTGCGATTGCTGTAACGCGCAGCACTTCATAGTTATGTGCGTCAAATTCAGGGACCTCTCGCCACAAGACCGGCACAAGGTAGCAATCAATTAGCGCCTTTGCTTCAATTGCCTAGGGCGCCATAACGTGCGCTCGTGCAAGAGCCAGAGGGGCTGCAAAAAATGCACGGAGCGTCATCATACTATGCTGCATAACGCACACCCGACAGCTTCACCCGCTCAGAAATCCGGTGGTTCGTCGGTCACGCCCGCGAACTGAAGAGACGGTGCAATCGTCGAGACCAGCTCACACGTCCGCTCATCCTGCTCAACATTACTTGCAACAGCCTTGGCATTGATCAGCTTATCCACAACTCATCACTCAGCGTGTCTACTCTTTGACACAGGCTCAGAACTCACCTTCGTCACGGAGAATCTCATTCGGCAGCTCAACATCCCTCGTCAATACTCAAGTATTGTCGTCACTGGAATTGCTGGCAAGGAGTGTACTCAGACACAACTCAACTGCCACAGTTCAAGCTCATGTCCTCAGGACAGTTACATCAATCTTACCATCTTTCGAAGCAGAACCAAAAGAATGGCCGTATCTCAGAAACTTGGCATTAGCCGATCCAGACTTTCTCATCCCGCGGCCAGTTGACATCCTCATCGGAGCAGACGCTTACGGGCAAATCAACAAGCCCAATGTTATTAGGCATTCTCCACTCATGCCGATCGCGCAACTCTCCATTTTCGGATGGCTCGTTCTTGGACAACAGAGTCAACAGAGAAGCAATACGTACATCAACGCATCATGCTGCTACTCAATCCAACGGGGATGCTCTTAATGAGCTATTGACGAAATTTTGAGTTCAAGAGGAGGTGCTTACTCACGATGTCAACCAATTCACGTCTGACGAGCAGAGATGCGAAGAGCACTTCAAGACTACACACTCTCGTGATTCTGCAGGGAGGTATGTTGTCAGGATTCCACTTAAATCACCAGCAGATCTTTTGGATGATTCGTACAACGTCGCTCATCAATGTCTCAAAGGATTACGCAGACGATTCTCAAGGGACGTGAATTATCAATGTCTCTATCAACAATTCAAGATTGATTACGAGACACTCAACCACATGACGAAGGCACCATCCATCTCCAGTCATCGCTCAAATTTCTACTTGCCGCATCACGGTGTCCCTAAGCCTGACAGTACTACAACGAAACTGCGGTCGTTTATAATGGCTCCAGCGCATCCACATCAGGCTACTCTGTCAACGACCTCATGTACACTGGAGCGAAATTGCATCTGAACATCTCAGATGTTCTCCTATGGATACGTAGACATCGTCACATTTTCGCTACGGACATCACCAAAATGTACAGGCAGATCAAATTTCTGCAGCAGAAACATCAACCGTACCATCAAGAAGCTGACCAACAAGGAA